TAACTTTGATGTAAAATTTTATTGTATCGAATTTTGAGACTTTTTGTTGTGACTTTGTACTTTAGATTTTCTTAATTTAATATCATATTTTTATTTAAATAATTATATTTATTAATTATATTATATATTTTTTATATTTTAGCGTCTCGCTTGGTTCGGGCGAGCGCCTAGCGCCTCAGGCGTTTTTGTAGCCTGGTGCCTAGCACTTTTTAAATCACTAGTTCATATGCCAAGTCACATCCCACTTTATTGAAAAGAGGTTAGACATGGAAGATTGACACTACCAAATAAATTCTTACAGAAACCAACATACTATACGGTTTTGGTCAATATAGAGATGTTAACAAAGCCGGTAGTTACAACTAGCAAGTCAAACTGTTTTTCCCTAGAAGATATCAATGTTATTCGAGACAGATCCTAAGAACATATTTTATCACCAACTGTACTGTCTTTAGCCCAGATCCAGAACTACAACATAATTCATACCCGACAGCTGATCCTGAAACAACATGCTCATGTTTTAATTATAAAAATTAGGTTCCTGTACCTCAATTGACTTTCTGAAACCACGTTGTAAGTTCAGCTAGTTTAACTTGAACCCTTTAAAGTTCAGATACCATCTTGAATGGATTTCTTATTCATTCATGTCAAAAAGATGGCATAAGTTAAACATTGTTGAAAAAAGTAACAACCAGACAGGGAATAGTGAGAGCAACGATCCAGAACATACTGTTATTTATGCTAGAAGACCTCTGCTTCCAGAACATACTGTTATTTATGCCATTACTGAGACTTCTATTGTGAATTTGAGTTTGGTAAGTCCTAAATTTAGCTTAAGATGAACTCCATTAGGACTTACTAAAGTTCACAACATAAGTGATTGCTCTGTGAAATTTTACATGTAAATCTCTAACTATGATTTTTGGCATCCAAGACAATATTATAATCTTCTTAATTAGTGACTCAGTTGCTAAAATATAAAGTATTCCTCACGGCAATATAATTCAAGAGTTTAGTACATCATGCAAGCAGCTAATAAGGACCAAATTGCAGATGTGCAATTCTAACAGTAAAAGGTATCAGGACTAAAGTGAAGTAAATTTTCTAAGAAGAACTATTAACAGATTGAGGCAGACTAACAAAATCCTACAGCTGATTCATTGTTTGGAATTCCAAGCACTTGAATATTACAAATGATACAACAAAAATTTAATATAAATGTAATGTGTATTCTAGATATAGCAAAGTAGTAATACAAACCTTAGATGGTTATCTATGCCAATACAAGCAATTTGCTTAAAAGTGTTAAATACTATATACGTATCTAAGTTTATAAATTAATGTACCTTTTTCTTCCATTTCCATGTTCTTTATTTTACGACGATTGAGGATTTTTATAGCAACCTTGTGCCCCGTCAATAGATGCTCTGCAATCTTAACCTTGCCAAATGAGCCAATGCCAAGAGTCTTTCCTAGCTTATAATTTTGCAAAACCACATCAGCACTACCCCCTCCTTTGCTAGATCCCTCCATTTTCACTGTGAAATAAGTAAAAATAAAATCAGCATCATTTGCTTCTTGTATATAAAAACATAGTTATTCCTCATAATATGCTCAAACTAAAACACTTAGAATGTATTTTCGAAGGCTGTGACATGATGAATAACAATGAAGATATTTCGATAACATGGATAATATATTCTTGAAGTCCCATTACGTTACAAGTAAATTGGCATGCAGATAAAACTAATTAATATTGAAAAGGAAGTTCAATGAATCTACACACACAAACAATTAATTGCTTCATGGAGAAATCACTGTTGATCTCTTCATGTCAGAATAAGCTTGATGTATATAAAGTACTCAATATATAATACTATGCACTGAAAAGCAAACATCAGAGTATGATTCATGTTTTCATTAAACATGCTGAGATATTGTTAAGTGAGTATGATATGCTAATGCATTAAGAGGTTATTCCATAAAACATGAAGCTTAAATTACTTTTTCTTCCTGTTAAACTTATTTGTGATAAAAGGTAAATTGACTCCAGTATATAAGATATATCATGTATCACAACTCTTCTAATATTGCAACTCTTCTTCAGGATAGGACACCTAAAAATCTAAAACAAAAATCCTACACAAAGTTATTCCATGTTATACATATACAAATATCATTTTTGATCATTTATGTGACAAGAAATCACTCCCATGATAATACATCCTAAAGATCCTAGCACATTGGAACTTCAGCTATACTAGCCACAATCATAAGTTTTGTTGATCCAGCAACAGTTCTATGCTGCTAGCTGGTAGAAGCTTACAAAGAGATGCATATAATATCAATCAAATGGGAACCTTCGCATCACAAAAAAAAATCATTTTAAGAAAAATGGCTAAGCCAAACCTACATAAATGTCTGAATAGAACTTCTCCAAGTTCTAAAACTAGTCCCGGGAATAAAGACTGAAGATTGAGAAAGTTGCATAGATAGCACTTTTCCATGAAATATAACAGAGAACCAATTAATAGCCAGAAAAAGAAATCTTACTGCCGAAAATATTTAGCAACCCATAACGAGCATAAGCACAATTTTCATTCCAACCCAGACCAAACTATATCTCGTAAGCCATCAAAACCCCTGCAATTTCCCCACAATCCAATCTTCAAAGAGCAAGAAGAAATCAGATCTCAGGCGCAAATACAGTAAATCAAAGCAAGAAAATACAAACAGGAAAAGAAAAACATCGCATCAGCTCATCACAAAAAAAAAGTTTCCAAATCCAAGATTTATCAACAAATCAATGAAACCCTCACCGTTGAGCGAAAACAACGATCAGTCTCTCCTGTTACTTTTTTCAAGATCAAAATTAGATTTTTCATTTATTTTATCTCCCGATCTTTCAAACCAAAAGATGTTGAGAAAAACGAACAACTAAGCAACGTAATTGGAAACGTAAAAAGAAGAAGAAAACGGACTGACGCGAATCCACCGGCGCCGAAGAGAAGCGGAGAAGGGGAAGTATTGGAGATGGGATTGGGGATTTGCCGGCGAAACGAAGGTGACTGACCAGATCGAGTTGGGAGCGACAGTGGGGGAGATCCGCTCACCGCGCCACTGGGAATAAAGGGAGAGGGTCCGGTAATTGCTCACCGCGAGATCCAGGCCATCCAAACCCTTTCGCTTTCATCCATCGGTGCTTCCAAGCATTTGGACGGCAAAAAGGGTGGGATTCTTGATGCCTTATGTAGCGGTGATGGTGACCGGGTACTAAAAGAACGGTGCCCGTTTGGGTGCCCACGGTATATTGGACAGCAGAAACAGAAACCGATGCTACTTTTTTACGTGGTGACGTCATTTACGTAGCCATGATACCTATAACACCATGTATGCGGACATCGATGTCGAGAAGACGACGATTGAGCTCGAGAACGAAGCAACGTTCATGCTTGCAAGTAATGTGCTCGATGAAAAGCCCCATCCAGAGGCACTGTGAACCTTGCTTTCTTGATTGGAGAACTATCAAGAATCGTGGTCTTCACCTTATCATGCATCTATCAGATTGTCATTGATACTTGCCGAGCTTTCCGGGAGAAGCTAAATCTAGAAACCATGACAAGCACTAAACTGCAACCATTTTAACAGGTCTTCTCTTCCTTATATGTGTATCTATATCCACAGTTTTAGATATTGAAGGCAAACCAAAGAACCTGTCTGCTCCCAATGGCTCGTTCATTTGCTTACTCTGTCATCTTCTCTAGCAAAACTCCAGTTGTGGAAGACCCCACCAATGTAATATAAGAAAGTTATTGGGCCGGGCCGGGCCGGACCAAAGGGTCCATGGCCTCTGCGT